GACCGCAAACGGCCACAAAAAATGGGGGGCAGCCGCATGACTCAAGGAGGTACGAGCGACCTCCATGACTAGACCAATGCGGCGCTCAGCAACCCCATTCTGCTGTGGAGAGGCCGGAAGCGTGAACGACTGCTCAATGCCCTCCTGCTGACAGAAGGCCTCCAAGAGGCCAGAGGAAAACTCCCCACCTCTGTCAGAGTGCAGACGCAGGACAGGAAAGTCGGAGCGGAAACGCCTGGTGAGCTGGAGACGAGATCTGCGGATCCAAGGGATCAAGACATCAGGTACGTCACCCTTGGCTCGCAAGGGGAAGACCGTGGTGTAGCGCGAGAAGTCGTCAACAACGAGCAGGAAGTACCGCTCCTGACCCTGACCACGCACGCGGGCTGGGCCCCACACGTCCATGTGGAGTGTCTGCAAGGGAGCAGTCGTCGGGGGAAAGGAGGAGGAGTGAGGAGCGGCGCGCTGCCGCCCCTCGACACAGGGAATACAGGGAGGAGCAGGCGAGTCGGGAAGGGGAGGGAGCACCCTGGGAAGACCAGCAACAAGGTCCCGTTTGTGCATGGCCCGAAGGCGCTGCACAGACGGGTGACCAAGGCGGTGGTGCCAAAGGACAGTCTCATGCGCCAGAGAGCGACACGAGCAGGGGGCGGACAGCTGACCTGACGCAGACGCAGACGTAGACGCAGACGCAGCTACCTGAGGGGACTCAGTGGTCAGTGTGTACAGGTCCGACCCCGGCTCTCGAGTGAAAGTAGCCAGGTGGCGACCCGTCCGAGCACATGTGCAGTGTGTCACGCGCTCGTAGGCAGGGGTGAACTGGTGAACACCCGAGTCCTGGAGCGCACAACCCGCCACCAAGTTCGTAGAGAACGAGGGGAGGTAGAGACCTGAAAGCGTGCCGGACGGGACCGCAGGACAAGGAAGAACAGTGGAGGAGGTCGCAATGACCGGACCCCCAGAGGGGTCAGCAAGGGAGACAGCAACTGGCCGAGCGAGTGGCTCAAGGACAGTGCGGTCACGAAAGAAAGAGCGAGAGGCACCTGAGTCCAGTGTGAAGGTGTGCAGTGCTGCAGTCAACTCAGTACCAGGGGGCACGGACGCACTAGCACCTAGGGCAGCAGCCTCACCAGGACCTGTGGGAGCAGACGCACTAGCACCTAGAGCGGCAGCCGGACTGGCCTGAATGCCCGGGTCGGGCGGAACACGCAAGTACTGAGCACCCTCTCCACTAATAGACATGGCATACATGGCAGTGAGAATAGCATCAAAGTCTAGAGCCCAAATATCAACACCCCTCTTTTCCAGATCAGCCCAGCGCGGCAGCTCAGCGGCATCAGGAAACTGGGTGCGCCACGCGTCGTTAAGGCGCGCGAAGCAGCGGTGCGTGGGGTGCGGCCTCCCACACTGCTGGCCGCTGCGGTCACCTGTGCGAATGACGTACGTGCAGGTAAAGCCACGCTGCGCATACCACTCACGGGCGGCCTGAAGCGTCGGGGCGGGCTGCTGACTCGGGCCTCCGCCAGTGCCTCCACGACCACCACACACCTCCGAAATTGGCGGGGTAGTACGTTGAACACCGTTTAATCGTGGGCTGTTGCGGCTGTCCCCGAAAACGACTTCCCGGGACGGGGAAACCGATCTCGAAACGGTCGAACAGCTGGCAACAACTCCAGGCACGCAGCGTCGAACGAGGATTTTTCGAGTGTCCGGCCCAAATTGCCCTCGCCGCCTGCGTCCCACTCCGCTGAGTGCGATTTAGCCACTCCGTTGTTTGTTGCAGCCCGTAAGTGTCGTCGGGTCCAAAGCTCCCGTCTGTCCACATGCACTTCTGCCGAAAACGTTGATGACGCGCCCGCCAATGCAGTAAAGGCCGCTGCACTTAACAGGTCGGGCGGGACGGCAGTTGACTCCCGCATAAATCGGGCAGTCCTCGTGGCGTCTCTCCTCGTCACCAGCTTTTTCAGACGCAATTACTTTAGCGCCTGGCGAGTCCGTACAGTTTCCCCTTGTTTTTTCTTCAACAGTTCCGAAATTGTCGCCCACAGTGCTGCATGTCCGTTGTCAACAGGTGCAACACTCCGAAAATGTCGCGCGCAAGTTGACGACGACCCACGTCAACTGCCGCACAAGACGACGACTCCGAAATCTTCGTGCAGCCGTCGACGCAGGTCCGCTAACGCCAGCTGCCACACGAAAATAACTCCGAAATCGTCGCGACGCAGCGGAAAAAACTCACGTTCAATGTCGCGACAGCTACAGCTGTCCGTTGCCCGGGGGGAGGGAGGTCACGGTCGATCGCGACCGTTCGAGCTAAGGATCTGGCGGTGCCCAAGGAGTGCCCGTAAAAACATCGCCGCGAAGAGCAACTAACTAGTTCTCTTGGCCGGCCTACGCAACTCCTGGACCCCAAGACATCCTTCCTCGTCCCCCCCCCCCCCGAGGGGTATTACACTCTAAAAAGCGGGGTAGGCTAGGAAAGTAGCTCTGATACCAGGTGTTATGAATGAACTTGCAGAGTGCGCAGTAAAACGAATAACGAGAATGAATGAACTACTGAATGACGATACAAGGAAAGTGACGAGGTTTTATAAGGGGAACCCTAGCTAGGCGAAGGGGTCGGGCTAGGATGGATCGGGAAGTGTTGCGATTGGAGCGGTGGCGACTCGGAAGTGGTTCGGGGCGGAAAAGTAGGCCGAACCAGGCTGACGCGTGGTGTTCGGATTGTACTCGCTAAAATGCGAGTACAGTAAGGAATTGTAATTCCTTACAGGCCTCCCAGTGTGTGTGTGTAGGGGTGTCAATCCAGAGAGTTTTTATGTTCAAATCGCGTAGCGAACGTATACTATAGCGGATTCATCCAGCCGTTATGTAGTGGGTCCTGCTTCCTTGGCTGCGTACGGAGTTGAAGAAACGCTTGGACAGTCGTTGCGATGCGATGCGAAACAGCAGACACTCGTCTCACCCTCACGCTAGAAAGCACCTCGCGGCTCCACATTTTTCTGTTCATGTGGAGGTTTTGCTGCAGCACACCAACCGGCGAAATCTCCCATTCCGTCCTCCACCACACCCACCCGCCGACTTCAACCCACTCAATTTCCCTTTCACCCACTAGCACCAGTACTGTACAGTGCAAATAGAGAGCCACATGGGAATCTACAGTTTGTTGTGAATGTCGTACGGCACGGGACAAGGGATCACGAATGCTCGACTCCTCCCAGCCAAACAAAAGTCGCACACACAACGCAAGGCAAAGGAAAAATATCGAAACCGATCGAAACGGGCAACCACCACCACATCGGCGGTTGCTTGCTTGCCTGCTCCTCTGCAGCCACTTGCAATTGGCAGGAGGTTCAGCCCTTTCATATGCCCGGACCGGATCGCCCGGGCAGGGACTTCCCAAAAGGCCCATGGGGCAGCCGAGCCCATTTCGACGCTCGGATGTCCACGAGTTAGTTTGGATGAATGGATAGGATGCTCTCCCCCATCCCATTTTTCTCGATGGATCATCGTCATTCATCCTTCCTGCACACACCACACCATACCGCACCACACCAAGGAAACAATACAGATACAGGCGCCGCCCGCAACAACGGAAATGACAATGGCCAAAGCTGCCCGGTGACTATGCAAGCTCTCTGCAAGAGTGTCCCACCCCACGGCACCGCTGGATAGAAACCATTGACAATGGACATAGAATTGACGGACTTGCCCCTCCCTTCCCTCGCTCCTCCCCGTTCTGTCTGGTTACAGGAAACTTGGCATTATGAGACTGGGCCACAAGGTACCAAGACCCTAGGTCGAGCCATACTTAGGGACGCATTCGCCTTATGACATATTGTCCCCTTCGTGAAAGAATCGGCTTGGTGGTGGCGGTACGACATTCGGCAGAGCAGCTGTTTTAGATTTGTGCGACGAGGTAGAGATCGAATTGACGGCTTTCAGGAACGGCTTACACGTACACAGGACGCGCAGCGCTTCTTATCTAGCTTGCACCTCGTCAGCATCGTAAGCATCGTAGAGAATTAATCGGAATGGCGACATCAGTTGATTCGATGGACGAGCTTTGGATTCACCGCAGCTCCGTGCGGCTCGACGAGTCACCTGCCACGTCAGCGTCGTCGTCATTAGCACGGAACCTCATCACTAGGGGGTACGCTTTAAAGACCGCCACTGGGAATAGTACAGGTGCTGGAATGACCAATTCCACGACCAGCGTCGCAGGCGAGCCATGCGACGACATTGACCTCGGGCGACGAGCCCGTGGCGACGTGCGACCTGCCATGCGACGATGCGCGGCAAGCGACACGGAAGGATTCACCAGAGAAAGACGAACGATCGGCAGGACCGCCGGCAACGGCAGCGTAGCAGGCGCTGGTATGAGCACGAAGAGCGCAAACAGCGGGACTGGAAGCAATGGCGCTGAAAGCGGTAGTTTTAAGGACAGGGGTGCTACTAACTTAAACGGAGAGTATGTCAGTAGACGTGCGAGACTCGCCGCGGGCCTTAATTTTCTGCCCAGCGGGCAGTTCGGCGGCCAGCTCGGGGACGGGGGCAGTCGAAGCGGCAGTATGCTGGGCTTTAAGACAAGCGTGCGTAGCCGCGTCTGGAACACTCTCGCTCGCGCCTCGTCGCTTCCGTCGCGAAGGGATGCCGCTTTAAGTTCGAAGCGGGATGCTTCGAGTAACGGGTCCTTTCAAGCTAGTACTTCCGACGAGTCGCGCGACTGTTCTGACGCGGACGAGCCGCGAATTGTGGCCAACGGTTTGAAGAACAGGGTTACAGCTCCAGGTTCGGAATCCGAAGCACCCGCGCAACTCACGGCGTTAGATGCGCCGCCATTCACGCGCAGCTCCGGGCGTTATCGTTCCAGGTTCGGCCGTTTGCCGGACCAGTCTACCGCCCAATCCGAAGCTGGAGAGTCCCCCTCCGACTCCCCCACGAGCGAGACTCGCGCCGCGATTGCCGAAGACGGCGACTCAAAAGGCAGTGACACGAGTATGGATGCTGCCGAGCCGCGGATGGACAGCCGTACGGGCCGCACCGGCGGTACTGGCGGCAACGGGCAACCTAATCCAAACTCGCCAGTCTCCCCTTCTCCCACACTTCCCCCTTCCCCCCTTTCCCCTTCTTCCCCTCCGGCAACCTCCCGGCCTTTCTCCGCGCTAACTCGCGCCATCTCCCTCACGCCCACCCGCGGCGCATCATCCGGCGGGCTGACCCGCGGCGCATCATCCGGCGCGCTGAGTCGCGGTGCTTCCGGGTCGCTCGCGCCAACTCGCGCGCAGCTTTCCGCGCTGCGCCGCGCGGCCGCGTTCCAGCAGCAGCATCCGTCGTGCTGGCCGAGCCGCGGCCGCATGCAGGCGACGACGGACTCGTTTGACTTCAACGAGCTCGGGTTGACCGACGTTGACTGGATGGGCGACGATGGCGACTCGCCCGCATCTGCGAAATCGCCAGGAGAAGCCGTCGACGATGCCACGTCATCCCCGTCCAATCGGACCGCGCCGTCGGACCGTAACGACGAACCGTGTCGCGGCGCTGAAACGGTTACCGCGTGTCGTAACGATGGGCTTGCCACGTGTCCAACCAGATCTGAGGTTAGTCCCAGTCCCGATAGCCAACGCGTTACAACTCCCGTTACGAGCACTCCCGTTATTAGCACCACATCAGCCGTAACCTTCACATCTACCCCTTGCTCCTCCTCCTCCGCCGCCGCCGCCGCCGCTCCCGTTCCTCTGATCCGAGCGCCGTCGGGCAGCTACGTTGTAATGCGTTTCTCTATGGCGAATCACGACGATTCGGCCCCGACCTCCCCGTCCTCCACATCACCGTCCACGTCAGCCGTCTCCTCTCCCACGTCATCTTCGTCTAGCATGAGAATTGTCGAACGTAACAGTCTCGCTAGTGACAGTCTCGTTAGTAACAGTCTCGTTGGTTCCAGAAGTGACGATGGCAGCAGCAGGAGAAACAGCCTCAGTAGCGATCGGCGAGATAGTATACGGAGTGATGGCACGAGGAGTGATAGTACGAGGAGTGATAGTACGGGGGATGGCAGCAGTGGGAGTGAAAACACAAGAAGCAATGGCAGGAGAAGTGATCGTGCGGGAAGTGGAAGCACGAGGAGTGATAGCTCGCGAAGTGACAGCAACGGAGGTGACATCGATGGCTCGCGAAATCATAATTCACGAAGTAGGCGCGACGGGGTAACCAGCAGCCGGAGCAGCACAAGCCAAAGTGACGGCATCGGGAGTGACAGTAGACGCAGCGACGGCAGCAGATGTGACAGTAGCCGAAGTGCCAGTAGCAGAAGCAGCGACTCGAGCCACGACGCTGGTCACGAGAGCCAGTCGGAGTGCGGTGGCGATGGCAGCATCCCCGCTAATAACGTCTCCGATGTCTGCACCTTAGCTGGCGGTAGTGGCAGAAAATTCCAGTTCAGTAGGAGTAGCAGCGGGGGCAGCAGCGACGAGGGAAGTGTTTTAAGTTTTACGGGACTGAAAATCGAGGGTAGAGAAGAGAATTCTGGGGTTCTTGAAAACAAAAATTGCGGGGAGCAGAGTGGGGTGTCTTTTGGCGAAACGGACGCCGCTGCTAGCGACGTGCTTTGTAACGCTTTCAAAAAGGGAGAGGGTTGGGGCGGGGAGAGGGCAGCGGAAGGAAAAAAGACGGGTGGGGGAATTCGGGAGGGGCGGAGAGGGAGGGGGAGGGGAAATTTGGCACACGGGCGGGAAAGAAGAAAAGGGAGGGAGGCGCAGGAGAGGGTTGGGGGGACAGATGCGCTGGACGGGGAAAGGGGGAAGGGGGAGGATGGGGCGGCGGAGGAGGGGGAGAATGGGGAGGCGGGGGATGGTGAGGAAGGAAGGGCGGGGGAGGCGGAGGAGGAGGAGGAGGGGGAGAAAGAAGGGGGAGGGGGAAAAGGGGGATGGAGGGCGAACAGGGATGGCGCTACAATCAGCAGGGGTAGCGATACGGTTCAGGCGAGCTTTCGGTTCCTGGCAGGGGAAGAGGGGTGCGCAGATGAGGGGAGGATGGAGGTAGATGGGAGTGAGGGAGAGGAGGGGAGTGAGAGAGGAGAGGGAATTGCGAGAGAGGAGGGAGAGGCGGAGGAAGGAGATGGGGCTATGTTTATCCAGGCTAGTAGGTCTGACTGTAAGGGAGAGCAAATCATGAAAGGACACGAGTCCATTAGTGGCTGTGCAGCAGATGACGTGGATGGCTTAGGGACGAAGGCAAAAAACTCAGCACCCCCCTCCCGAGCCATGAAGCTTAAACTCACTGGTCTCTCCTCCCCTTCTTCCTCCTCTGCCTCCGCTTCCTCCTCCCCCTCCATCTCCCCCTCCTTCTCCCCTTCTTTCTCCCCATCCGCTTCCAAACCCCCTCCCCACCCATCTCCCCTTTCCGCCTTGCCCAATCTCCGCCCCTTCCCCTCCTCCTCCTCATCCCCATCCGCCTCCTCCCCATCCTCCCCATTCTCCTTCCCTCCACCGCTCCAGCGATCCAAGACCGAGGTGCTCCCTTCAAGGCACTCCTCAAAACACTCATCCAAACAAGACTCCTCACGACGCCCCTCCCCCACCTCCACCTCCGTGCATCCCCACAGTCATTCATCTGACCACAATCAGTCGCATCAAAGCCCGCCCCTCACATCCCCTTCTTCCCCTCATTTTAATGATCTCTACCCCGCTCCTTCCTCCCTCACTGCCCCTGTCCCTTCCCTCCTCCCTGTTCACCGTCCTTCCCCCAATTCCTCCCCCTCTGCTCCCCCGCGCTCTCCTGCATGCCACTCCGCCAACCCCCCCTCCCCCCCTTCAAACCCAGACCACCCTAACAAACCTCCGTTACAAGCCCCTTCGTTACAACTGCCTGTGTCACAAGCATCCTCGTTACAAGCCTCTTCAACACAAGCGTTGCACAACAGCGCCTCTCCCAAGCACCAGTCCGGCCTGCCACCCACCACTCCCAAGCCCCATGCTCGCTACCTCCGCAAGCAAAAATCTGTTCCCACTGCCTCCCTCTCCTCCATCCCTTCCCCTTCCTCCCCCTCTCCTTCTCCCTCTCTTCCTCCCTTACCTCCTTTACCTCCCCCCTCTCCCTCTTCTTCCATTTCCCTCTCCACCTCTCCTCGTCCGAGCATGTCCCGCACTCCTCACACTCCCTCCTCTCCTTCCTCCCCTCGCTCCCCTCGCTCCCCTCGCTCTCCTCGCCCCTTCCCATCCCGGCCTCTCATGTCCCCTTCCCTTGCTGACCGCCACAAGCCATCGCCTCTCAGGCGCACTTCAGGACCGCCGGACGCCCTTCAGGCTGATCCTCAGGTGAATTCCCAGGAGAATCTGCAGGAGCAGTCTCAACTGACATGCCATGCAGGAGCAGCAGCAGCAGCAGCAACAGCACCAGCAGCAGCATCGGAAATAACAGCAGCAGCACCACCATCGAAAGCACCAGTGGTAGCGCCAACAGCAGCAGCAGCACCAACAGCAGCAGCAGCACCAACAGCAGCAGCAGCACCAACAGCAGCAGCAGCACCAACAGCAGCAACAGCGGCAGCAGCAACAGCACCACCACCCTCCCGTCCTGCTTCTGCAGCCAAACCTCCTCTCTCCCCGTCACCTGCACACATGAGAAGCTTCAGAACAGCTGCAGACGGCAAGAAAACTGCCCCTGGGAGCAAGAGGGCAGGCCTGGAAAGCAACCGCACATCAGTCTCGTCTGCAGGCCGGTCACTTATACGCCAGGCGTCTGCACCCATTGCCTCCCTCTCCTCCTCCTTCTCTCCCTCCCCATCCGCCTCCTTCTCCTCCTCTTCACTACCACCCAGCGGCCCAAATCTTGACCTGTACTCGCATGGGGCAGATGTGAGTGCAGGTGACTGTAAGGAGGGCTCTATCTTCCTTGTACAAGGTGTTTCGGCTCGAAATGGTTCTGCAAGGGATGGTTCGGCACTTGGTGGTTCGGCGCGGGTCGGTTCGGCACACGAAGGTTTGGCATGCGGTGATAAGAATGCAGCAGCAGGGCTGAGACGCAGCAGCAGCACTGCCACTGCCTCCGCTCGCCCTTCATCCTCCCCAGTTTTCTTCCCTCGCTCTCCCATTGCTCCTTCATACCCTCATCCTCCCGTCTCACCATCACCCCCATCACCATCATCACCAGCATCCTCACTCTCTTCTGCTCCTTCCCTTGCTCGCTCCCTCTCCTCCTCCTCTGCCTCCTCTCATGCATCACCCATCACCACCACCACCCACCACGCCCGACCCCTGACCCGCTGTGCCCGCCCCTTCTCCCCTCCTCCCCGCTACCTCGCCTGTATTGCTGCCGAAACCGCCAAACCTGCTGCTGCTGACACCGCCGGTGTTGCCACCACCCCCCTGCCACTACTGCTGCTGGTGGTGGTGCTGTTGGTGCTGTTGCTGCTGTTGGTGCTGTTGGAATGGCAGGATCTGTGCGTCTGGGATCTGCTGCTACTGGTGGTACCGCCTTTGCTGGAAAGGCAGCGTCTGGGGGAAGCCCACTTTGGCGCACGCAGAGCAACGCTGAGAGCAGCAGCTCACACGCCGTTGAGCCGGAGAAAAAGGGGAGCAGGGAGAGAGGGGAGGGCAGGGAGGGCAGGGAGGGCAGGGAGGGCAGGGAGGGCAGGGAGGGCAGGGAGGGCAGGGAGAGCAAGGAGAGCACAGGAAGCACAGGGAGTATGGGGGCACGAGGGAGTGCAAGGAGCAGAGGCAGTGTTTCAGTGAGAAGCATGAGTGGGAGGGCGCTGAGGAGAAGCCTGACTCTGGACTGGCACCCTGGCCACCAGCAGCAGCGGCAGGCTCAGGTGCAGCCTCAGGTGATACCGCAGATGTTTCAGGTTAAAACAGCAGCAGCAGCAGCCGCAGCAGCCACAGCAGCAGCAGCAGCAGCACAGGCCAGACGTGTTGATTCTACATGGGGACGAGGAGACCGATGCGATTTACACGCATCCGAGAGCAGCAGCAGCAGCAGCGGCAGCAGAACTGGCTGTTCACTCCGTCTCTGCGGCTGCTGCTCTTGCTGCTGCCAAGGCCACCCTCCCTGCCCCTCTTCCCCATCCCGCTTCTCCTCCTGTGTCTCCTGGCCCTGCTGCATCTCTTGTGCTTTCTGCATCTCATGCAACGATGACAGCAGCAGCAGCAGCTGCTGCTGCTCCTGCCACTGCTGCTACTGAAGCAGCTTATAGTGGAGCTATCCATAGTCCTGCTTATAACGGAGCTGTTCTTAGTCCTGCTTATAGCGGGGCAATGCTCAGCCCTGTGTCTCCGGTGTCGCCCCATCCACCGATTCTCACCCTGCCCTGGGAGCAGGAGGAGCCTGCGACACTTAAGAAACACTTTGCTAAGCGACTGGCTGGCCGCAGCAAGAGCAGCTCAGACTCCCCGTGGCTGTCAAACAGGGATGAGAAAAACAGCACTGGCGGTATTCAGACCAGCAACAGCAACTGCAGGTGTTCGTGTAACTGTCACAACAGCAGCAGCGCCAGCATCACCAGTACCAGTACCACCACTACCAGCAGCAGCACGGGGCAGCCAGGGGGCGTAGCATGGGGGTCAGGGAGGGCCTTAGAGCCGCCAGACGTGGTGAACCTTGCAGTGCTGGTGTCGGTGCTGGCTGCTCTGCCCAGTGCTGGCTGGCAGGGCGCACGTGAGTAGGTGGTTCTGTTGGGGTAT